GCTCTGGGGCCCCGCGGCGCGCGGCGGGAAGCCAGGAGCGGATTCCGGCTGGAGGCGGCTCCAGCTCTCGGCTGCGGCGTGGCTTGGCCGGGCCATTTCGCGGCTGCCGGCGGTGGCGCGGTGCCCCGCTCCGAGGGCTCTGGCGATCCGTGCCGGAGAGTAGCGCCCGCCCGGCTGCAGGGGCGGCCGCACCAGCCGTTGTGTCATTGCAGCGCCCCAACCGGCCCAAACCGGCTCAAACCGGCCCAAGCCGGATCTGCTTCCCTCTTCCCCAGTGTTCTCTTCTCCCGCCTCCTCCTCCTTCTCTCTCCCCCCTCGCCCTGGCCTCCATTTCAGAGGCACCGCGAACTTGTGCTCCCCTGCGGCTTCCCCACAGCCCGGCACGGCCTCCCGCCACTGCTCTGTGCCTGTGGGGCTGCTGCTGCTCCTGAATCCATGCATGTCGTCTTTGTCCTGGCCTCCTAACCACATTTCTATTTCCTTCAGAGTGAGGGAAGTACTTTATTTTGAAAATCTGGGGTTTTTCCACTTACGAAAGAAATAAGCAGAACAAGCTTTTCTGTTTTTGGCGAAAGCTGACTCTGCTTGGAGATGGTGGTCTTGTGGCGCTCCCCATCCCTTGTTCCTCTGCAGTTATGCAGCTTTCGTTCCTGCTTGCCCCATCCATGCTTGGATGTGACATTTTGCTTCCTTTGCACAGGACCCTAGCTGCTCTGTTCTTTTTTATCACTGACTTACAAGCAGTGTGTTTCCATGGCCAGCTGCCACCATGGCAAAGAAAGGCCTCCCGGTGCCTGCCCATTTTCCCCAGTCACTCCCGTTAGTACAGGAGACAAACCTGGGCGTTCCCCCTTCTGGTCCATGCAGATACCAGGAAGACAAGCACACCCTGTCTATTGTTAGGTCATCACTGCGGAAAACACTGTTTCTTCTCCCTCCACCAACACATTCCCCATTTTTAGAAGTTAAAGGAATTTGGCCTACTCCATGTTGGACAGAATCTTGTGTGGAGGTTTGACTTGCAGTTCCTCCAGCAGCATCTGGAGCAGAACCAAGACAGCACTCCTCCCCCTGGAGGTGCCATGGGATGTCTCTTAGCTATATGGAGGCAGTGCAACTGGCTCAACTGGCTGGCGCAACTCTGTGGCTGAGTGGTATTGTCAGGCATGATTGTATGCCATGCTGGAGTGGTAAATGTGCATGAGTTTTAGGTAGCTCTTCTGCACTTTTGCCAGTTTCAATGCAAAGTTTGCTTTTAGACCTCCATGCTTCTGAAGGCATTGAGGCAGCAACACACCTGAGGGGGAGGAGTAGGTATATATGTATGCCACTCACTCCCCTGGCTTTGGTTTCATCTTCAGTTGAATAGATCTAGCCAGCAGCTGCTGTTGCCGAAGATATTCCCCACTTTCACCTGTGCTAGCTTTGGTATTTGTCAGATATCTCCTAAACCAATTTAGTTCACTGACATTCTAGATGCTACTTCCATCCTCCAAGGGAAATGTTCTGCCAGATCCATGAGTTTAGCTGGCTCACCAGAGTCGAGAAAAATCCTGCAATCAACTGGAGAGGAGGTCTGCTACACAAGTGGGTATAGCAAATGAGTAAACAACCCTGTTTATGGCAGCAAGCCATGGCAAACAAGGTTAATTTGTTTCACTGTCAACCCCTTTGTGAACAATTCCTCCTTCAGGAGGAGAGGCAACCACGTGTACCTGCATCTGAATCTCTGGAAGTAAAACATTTATTATCCTTAGGGGTATAAGGACTAGATGTAAAGATTACTCCCACAGGCCTTTCACAACTGTGTCTGCATGTAAATATATGTGTATTGTTTTTAAGGACGGCACAAAAACCAGGCAAAAATCTTGTTGCTATGTTGTGACAAACGTTTGCAGAGTACAGGGATTCTTGAAGTAAATTTTTCACTGTCATCTATGAGCCAACCGCTCCCATGCTCCCCATCCACAGCAGCATGGTGGACAGTGTTGAGCAAGATATTCAGTAGTTGCTGCAGTGCAGCTGCTGCATGAGCTCTGGGTGGCAGGAAGTGGTTGGAGCACCAGACAAAAGACTGTGAACTGGTGCCAACTGTTTGCACTACAGAGAGTACAGGGAACCTGTGGCCCAGCCAGCTGACCACTCAGAGACACAGCAGGAGCCAAGGTCTCATCTAGAAGACCCTAGACCATCATGCATAGGGTGAGTGTGTAAAAAAAACAGGGCTTCCTTTGTTTGTGGTCTCACCTCACAGGACCAGTTCAAGTTCTTTTTGCATTACTGTACCAGGTAGAAGACTTTGCATTTTTTTTTGTGAACTTCATGAAGTTTCTTTTGATTTATTTTTCCAGTTTGTCAGGACTACTGCTGAGTGACAACCCAATTCATCAAGTACATTGACCTCTACTTTTCCAGTTTTCTGGCTGCAACATGACAATTCTCTTCACCAGCTGCAGTGTTTTACAGAAGGCTGTTTACACACTATTCTCACTGCCTGCTGGTGGAGGAGACACCACTATTCACAGAATGACCTGACAAGAAATTTTTGTGTGTGCAAACTTGCACATATACATGCATACTAACACACACACACACAACCAAGTTAAGCCTGAAAAAAAGCAGAATTAATGGAATTCATTACACGGTGGTGGTTTGCAGTTATGCTGCATATTTCAAGGACTTCCTGCTCCAGGAGTAGAGGAATGCTGCATTACAAAACACGTGGTTCCTTGACTAGCTGTAAAACAAATGATTTAAGAGAAAAAGGGAAATAAAATCTTACTCTCATCTCACAGGAAGGATGTGTGTAAACAACTGTCTTCTAGAAGGGGCTAGCACATTTGTGTAAAGTACTGCTTCCCCTTCCCCACCTGTGCCATTGCCTTCAGCTCTCATGCCAAAAGAAAATACTTGCATTTTCACATTTTTTCTTACAGTTTAAAGTATCCTCTCATTTTCACACCTTATTTATAATTTTTGAATGTTGGCAGGCCTGGCTGTGGCTCTGGAAGGCCACTCCAACAAAGAGAAAGTCAGTGCTCTGCCTCTCTTTCCTGTTCCCTTGCACTCTCTCCCTGGTTTCCTTAAAAAAAACAGGTCAGAGTGTCTCAGAAAAATTTTAGGGAAGTGGTTTAAGTTTTTATCTGTAACTGCAAGAATAAGACTAACAAATAAAAGGAAGTAGAAACATTCAGGAATTTAAGGAATCAGGAAACCATTTTGCATTACAACTGAATATGTTGTACTGCTAACTATTTTTGAAACAGGACTTGCAAAAAATTTGTCTAATGCAATATGTTTCATTTAGGATCAGCACCAGCACTCCTGATTTTGGCTGTTCTCATCTGTCTCCCTCTCCTGGTCAATGGCAGGTTTGTTTAAGTGGGATTTTAGGCAGGGAAGTCTTTGTTTGTCTATTATCACTACACAAAGAACTCAAAGTGTACGTGGCTTAGCAGAAGATTTTATGTGTACATATTTGTTTCACTGTATTGAGTGGTAAAATAGGTATTTGTCTGTTTAAAAATTCATCTCTGCAATTTTGGAATGAAAACATAAATACCACTGTATCTCTGAAAATGGGCCAGAGAAAATCAGGCAAAGGGAGTGCTCACTTTCAGTCAAGCTCAGGATTCTGGAATGATGCCAAGAATACTGGAGCTGAGAGGTGGATGCATTTCTGAAGAGGTGGTTTCAGGGAAAAGAGCTGGAGTCAGCCAGTTTAAGGGAATTTGACAGTTTTGGTGTAGTTTATTGATTTTTTTAATGGCTTTTAAAGAGTTAGTATTGACATAATACACTGCAGACTGCTAATATTTGCCTTTTGCTTTAATCAGTCATATAAATGAAATGTGTATTAAAAAAATATATAATTTATTGTTGTATATAATGAAAAGCCTGGGAACAGTCTGAGGAGTACTCAGGTAATATATAATCTTCGTGCTCTAGTTCTGACAATGCCTGTTACTGAGCAGGGATAGTCTTCTGATGCTAAGGCAAATAAAGGAAATGTGTGATCATTTAGAAGCAAGATCAGGTGACATGGGAGGAGTACAGAAGTGCTGTTAGTTGAATTGGAGTTGAAGCTGGCTAGTATTGTGGGGAACAATAAAAAGGGCTTAAAAAAATACTAGTAACAAAAGGCACACCAGAAATAGCATTGGCCAGTTACTTGATGAGGACAGTCACTTCCGAAACAGGGACATGAACTAGGCAAAGATGTTTAGTGATTTATTTGCCTCAGACTTCTACACTGAAGGTGGGCTCTGGGACCACCAGAACCCTGAGCTGGAGGACCACAACTGCAAGAATGATTTGTTGTTGTTGTGGTTTTGTTTTTGTTGTTGGTTTTGTATGTTTGTTTTTCATGTTGGCAATTAGTATTGATGTGCTCAGGAAAGTAAAGGACAGAACTGTAAAAATGAGTGAGTGTGGTGGTTTAAAACCAGTTGGGAATTGAAGTTCAAATAAGCCACTCCCCTTCTTCCTGCCCCTCCCTGGTTTGAAAGGGACAAATGCAACCCCTTGGGTTGAGACACCAATCTACTAAAATAAACAGCGATGGGGTGATAATAGATGGGGTGGTAATACGAAACAGTAACAGCAACAATTAACACAAGTATACAAAAGAGAGGGTGATTTACACATACAAAGGTGCTTATCAGCTTTGTTCAGTTCCACCCGGCCTCCTGAGACAAAAACAAGATGGTGGATGACCCGTCATTAGCACCATGTGGTTTCCTGAGAAAAAGGGGAAAATGGCAGCCCTTATTGCAGCCTGGAATTCTCCTCCTCTGATCTCAAGAGAACTGTGGAAAAATGCCCCGATCTGGACCATGCTACTGGACCATGCCACTCCTGAACTATTGTGCTCTGCTCAGACTGAACTGCACTGCTCTGTGGGTTCACCTGCTCTGAGCAGCATTCAGCTAGGCTTGACGGTGTTCACCACTTCGAGCTGCATTTCTTCTGAGAAATGGGAAGGGACGGGCAGCATGGAGAGAGGGGCAGTCCACAGTGCTGGTTGCTGGCAGGTTCTCTGTGGAAGGAATGGAACAAAATGGCACACTCAGTGTTCATTCATATTTCACTTCCCGGCAAAACCATGCCCCCCCGCAATGATTTCAGGATACAGAACAGCAACCTAGCCATGCCCACACAGTGCTAGGCTCTGCCCCCTTCCCAACACCCTCAAGTAAAACTAGGACAGTAAGGAATGACAGAGTTTTTGAGTTATAAGAAAGTAGCAAATTGAAACATTTTTTTTCTGTAGAAGTAAAGGGAAAATTGAATCAACATAAAAGATAAGTGAAAAATTGCTTCAGAGAATATAGAGTGAAGAAGAAATGTAATAAAACCTCAAACAATTCTGTCCCAATATTTCCATTTAAAAAGCAAAGCAAGCGTTCAGCAACTGTATTTTTTATGAAGAGTATGCCCATGTTTTTTTCTGAGTTGAGAATATATATTCTCAGAAAATACAATTTACTGGTAAACCAGAAACAATCCTTTAGGAAAGCTGTATGTCAAATAGATTTTCAATTGTCCTGGATAATTTTATGATAATTCTTCAAAATTGTCACCCCATTAGGTGCACTCAGATCTACCCTGACATAACAATGGGATTTTTAAACATGTGTTGTTTTTCCATACTTTGTCATAACTGAATACTTTCCCTTTAGCAAACAAACATCCTACTATGGAAATTTTAAAGGAGAGAAATGTTCCTGAAAGAAGCCTCCTTCCTTTGTTCAAAATGGTTTAGACTTGTCACTGCACTGCTATTTTAATCTGGCAGAAGTACGAGCTGCTGTTGAAAGGAGCAGACTGGCTTTCCTTCTCCTGCTGTCTTCTGCCACTTCTTCCCACCGCTTCCCATGTGCCACTCATATGCCTGTGGCTATGTGATGTCTTGCTTGAGGGTGTCACTCCAGTTGAAAGTTCGTTTTTCTTTTGCTATCCTAGTTTTCCTGACTGTGAGGAGTGCAAACAGTAATGGCAGCCCAAGGGCAGCAACAGGAAATAGTGTCAAGAGACAGATGGGGAGGCGAACGGGATTATTCTTTGGTGTTTAATGAGTTTAAGCTCAACTGGAATTGGAAAAGTCATTATTTGCTAATTTTATGAAGTATTGATAACTTGATTTTCAGTTGAATTAATTAATCTGGTTTTTGCACTCATCTACTTTTTGCTTTTCAGTAAAAGACAAATTGCCAGAGAACCACACAATTTCAGTTTGGATGAACAAATAAATTGATACAAGTGTTGCATATATATTTTTGGCAACCCTCTAAGGATTAGTTGTGGTTTAGGAATGGAAACCCCAATTCAGTGCCCCCACCAGACTTTCCAAACCATGCACCACTCTCTTGCTCCCTCACTTTTCCCCACCCCCTCCCTCCTGTGGCTCAATGGAGATGAGAATTGGAGGCACAAAAGGCAAAGATCATGGGTTGAAATGACAACAATTTACTGGAAACAGCAATGAGATAAGAAAGTGAACAGTAACAGCACCAATACTGATGACAAAGGATACAAGAAAAGAAATTATTCACAAAGAAACCCAAACACTGGATGACTACCCCTACCACATGTTCTTGACTGGAAGGAACTCCTTCTCTCCATAACAGAGTCCCTTCCCTCACCCCTGGCAGTGACATGAGATGATATAGAATAACCTCAGTGTCCTAGCCATTCCTTCTCCTGGTTATTATAAAAAAATAACCCTGTCCTGGCTGGAACCAGGGCAGGTTCTAATGGAGATCAGGTAGACTATGCTTGCAGGCTTCAAAAGTGCCTTGGATTATTCTAGAGATTCATAGGACCTTAAGCTTTGGCAGGCGACTGAGAGAGTTGGCCACAGCTTTAGGTCAGGGTGGTCTCATACAAAGCTGCAGGAGATTCCTCCTGCCAAGTGCACCTCTGCCAGTTTGGTTCTGTGTACTTGCCAAAATTTTAGTTATTATGCCCATAACAGATGTATAGTTAAATGAGTAAGAAACAATGAAATGTACTGGTATATTAAAAAAAAAAAAAATAACTTGAAATCAGTACTCAGAAAGACTGCAAGTTCCAAATTCACATGTGTAAATGTATGTAAAAATTTTGTTTCAGACTGATGTGTGAATTTGTCATGATTACAAAAATTAGCACAGATTTGAAGTAGAACAGGTGTTTGAATCCCTGTGTGAAAGTCAGATAATATTCCTGGAAACCTAGGTTTAGAGGATATCAAGAATTTGTCTTGGGGTCCTTCTGCATCATCTGCATCATCCTTTTTAGATTAGTGTCATTCTGAAATGTCTTGAAATACTTCAAAATCCTCAAGATGGTCAGTGAAATGTTGGCTGAACAATATACACAGGAGCAGACATAGTCCGTTTTTTCCGGACTATATTTAAAGTGAAAGAAACATAAAATTTCATTCATGAATCTAACTTTGTCACAAAAATGTGGATTAAAAGTGTAGGAGTAAGTATTGGAAAAAGAGGAGGTCTAATTTCCTGAGTTTTTTTCTGATAAGCTTTCCTGGGGAAGTGTTCAGTTATGTTCAGGAAGCTTGAAAGCAGAATATATTGATCAGGTAGTGCAAAATGATCTGCAGGAGAGCTGAGAGTTGTAATGGGATGAAAGTTGAGATGCAGGAGAGATGAGAAGGTGAATGAACAGGAGGTAAGGAACTGGAAAAATCGAGTTTGAAATTGTCTCTTGGCAAGTGATGAAGCCTGCAGATCTCTGACAAAGGATGCTTGCTGAGAGCTGAATACACTTGCCTGGTTGCTGGCAGTACAAGAAAGTGTCCTGGCATGCTCCCGTACAGCTGCTTACATAGGACTAGTAATGTTGGTCCTATACTTTCCTACAGCATTGTGTGACTTTCAGAAAAAGAGGACAATTTCTAAATCCAGAGAGAATGGGAATTTTCTGTTAAAACCAGAATAAAATCTTGGAAAGTGATTGTGCTTTCCTGTCCTTAAATTGACATATTTCATATCACTCCATTTTCTTGAGCTTGATGAAAATGAAATAACCTTTTTTCTTGCATGTTCTCATACATTCACAGTCAGACTCCTGTGAGCTTGAGTTGTTTATGTTTAGTTGTTCAAATCAGAGTTTATGTTTCACTTGTCTTTCAGGCAATTAGCTTAAGGGCTTTGCATTAGTCAGGCACATACATTCTATGTTTTGACTTTTCACACTCCATAACATTTCTTTCATGTTAATTTCAGACATAGTTCCAAAGACAAGACTGACATTCTAGAATGACAGCTAGGGAGACTGCAGTATCCCAAAGTCTACGACTAGGTTAATCAAGAGAGAAAATTGTTACATGCAGTCCTGAACGCAGCCAGTGCAGCCTGTAGTTGGAATGTGTGACTGTTGGCTTGAGCAATCCAGAACTAGCCCAGCAAAGTAAACCAGAGCAAAAAGCTGCTCTTGTGTGATTTCAAAGCCTCTAAGCTGAATGGAAGGAGATGGAGTAGCTGAAGAGAGTATCTTCGTAAGGATTTAGAAAAGAGGCAAGAAAAACAAGTGCTGAAGTAGGGGAAAGAACTAAGTAAAAATATAACAAGAAGTAAGTACTCAGGAACACCAGATATAAAAGAGCTGCATTTGTGTGGATCTCTGCATTCTACCATCTCTGGCTTCTCAAGATTTCTGGGATATCTGATAGCTAGGATTAGTGAGATCTTGTTAGCAATGGATAATGGATAACATTATTGGATAATGGAAACCCCATAATGCTTTGTTTTGTATGGTTGTATCCTGTGTATCCAGTAAGTCTTGTCTGTTAGATGATGGAGTGTCTGTCTCAACTACTGTCTGTTTTATTGACCCTCCCCTGATTTACCGCTCTGGTAACCACAAGAAGACAGACTGTGCTCTCTGTCTCTTTCCACGTGTCTTGGTGAGCAGGGAGAGGTGGGAGGGCATGCAACAGAGTCTGCACCCATGCTTGCAGCATCAAGTCGTTCACATCTTCAGTTTAAGAGTCAAGGGAGCACCTTAAGGGCACTTTATTGATGTTCTTGTGTGCAAGGTTTTAAGTCATTTGCCCACCAGACTGATTTATGTTGCTCAGTGCAGGAAAAACTCATCATCTGCTACGTGGTTTTGGTCTTCCTCTTGCCTGTGTTAGACCTCAGCTACCAAAACAGGAAATGTGGATGATTTTCTTTGTTACTTATGATCAATGAAGGTGACTATGTGGTGATTCTCTGTGATTATATTGTATGAGTCACATAATAATTCTTACCATTTGTCTGCTTGAAGCCAGGTAACTACTTCTCTGTAAGCAGAAGAGTGTGCTTTGTGCAGGGACTCCTTATGCTGCCTTCTGTGAAGATGAGTGGGAGACCCACACATGGTGGGCTGTTTGTTAGGCTGCCCTTTATGACAGTGCTTTTATTCACTTTTATGTTCTTCATGAGTTTTATTCTTGTGATCCTGCTTCAGGAAAAAACGAGAACAAAAGCTGAGGTTAGAGATTACTGTGAGATACTTGGAATAGCTCCTTGCCCTCACATCTTTTTAGCTCTTCTTGACTGTGGGAATCTGGGAATGCTTCACAGCTCCTGAGTTCAGCTGTAAGTTAAAGAGAAAGTGCAAGAGAACAGGAGGATGGAAAGATGCAAAAGAGAAGTGAGAGTTGAAAAAAAAATAGAATGTAAAACTTCATAATCCTTGGTACAGCAGAACAGTCATGGCTCTATCTGGAGCAGCCAGTAGGAAGGAAATATTTTTGTGTGTGATTTAAGGTTTGGTATGAGGGTGCATTCCCTTCCCTAAAGCTAAAAAATAAAAGACTATAATAAAAAGGATGGGAGTTCGAAAATATTCTATGATTTTGAAGACAGCACTGTTGTTCTTGTGGGGAATGATATGACACAAGAATTTTGTATCCTGACATTATGAAAGTGAAAATACTTAGATGGAAAAAGTAGTGAGTTCTTCATGAAAGACCTGTGACTAGGATTGCATTAACAACTAATGATTGCAGTAACAGCTAAGAGGCAGTAGGAAGGTGGGCATAGGAAAAAAACTCCAGCAAGATGTAGCATAACAACCTACTGGACATGATATTATGCTTTAAAAAGCTTTATTTAACAATTCTCTCATGGTCAGCACCTGTAATATCTAAAAAATATAACAAGTCAAAGGAAATAAATTTGCTTGTGGGATAGTTTGCTGTTATTTATAGCACAAATGGCTGAGACTTCATAGTGTTGCCTGTGTCCTCATCATCATTTTTGGAAGCATCACAACAGGTGTGTTTTTCAGTTTCGGTTGGACCAGGTCACCTGAGATGAATTCTACCCATTTGAAAATACTTGAGTTTAAACACTGCTTATTTGAATAATTGCAGATATAATTGCTGGAGATTTGTGAGGCTGAAACCTTCTTCACCTGTGTGAAAAGGTGAAGGCCCATGTGCTCCTGGGAATTTTGACCACCTATATTTGTGTAACTTCACAATGTCTTCTTTTGCCTGTATTACAAATGAAGAAGGCACAGTATGCAAGATCTGAATAACTTGGGGTGTGTTTTCTTGTGTCTGTGTAAGGCAATAGGATGTTCTGAGGCAGGCATAAGCTTTTGGACAAGATTGCTTAATGGTGTTGCATATTTCTCTGCTTACGAGCCAGCTGTGGAACAACAGTGAAAGGAAAGATGTGCAACTGCCCACATAAGTGCTGGTGAAATGACTAGGAAAATAAAATATGTCATCTTGAGAATTATGCTTATCATAATACGTTTTAAAGTTAGATATGAAAGGAACATATTTTTGACCTCCCGTTTCAGCGAACTGTAGAACTGCCCTCCATATTTAAAATCAAGCTCAATAACTTCCCCTTAAAATTTCAAAATAATAGTCATTCTTGAATTAAAGATTTCAGTGATTAAAAATTTCAGTCTCTAGTAACATTGTTTCTATGAATAATTTATCTGTTAGATTCTATTTAGCACTGTTTCATATTCATTTAAGGTATGTTCAACTCCTAGCTTTCAACATATTGGTAACTGCTTTTCTGTGGGACCAAAGGACACTTCCCTAAGAAAAAAAATCTCACCACATAAACCCATCTCAGTTACTGTGAAACAGATTCTTACCTTGCAGAGCTGCAAAATGTTTTCTTATAAAGCAAAAAATGATCTTAGTAAAAAATAGAGTGATGAAAGAAAAAGTGTCATATAAGTTGAAGAAATTACAGGGTAGCTAGTATGTAGTGGGCTTTTAAAAAGAAATACCATAATCAGCATATTATTAAATATGTAACTAAGAAATAATTTAAGTTTGAACAGCAGTAATAATGTCACTTTAAAGAACAGCGTTACATGTACATGTGAGCAAAGGTCTGGCATTTTCTAATGTTTAAATAGTGAAGACATTGACATAGGATTACCTCATTGTTTTAAAGCATTATTAAAATAACAGTGGGACACTAGCCCTGGGGAGCATTATATTTACTTTTTTAGTAAAAATAAAATCATTCTCTTTCCAGGAATAGAGAGAAGACTTTCTTCTTTTTAATTAAGATTGTATTTTACTAAGTTTTTGAAAAAGTGCTTAGTTTTATGTGTCACATTAATTTTCTTTCATTTCTGTTTGGGAAGCACCAGTCTTATAAAACCAAAGAAAAACCTTTGTAAAATGGATAATCTCTTAAAATTATTTTTTATTCAGCAGTTATGCTGTGTACAAAATGTACTTTCATGTTGTAGAAGGAGCAAATCTGTGTTTTCACCAGTATTATGGTAAAATGTACCTCCCCAGTTTCTGTGTAAGAGAATATTTTTGTAAAAATTGTTGGTTTTTTATTTCTATGTGAATTTTCTGTGTGAATAAATCCAACTAGTTTTAGAGCAACTTATGGTTATTCAAACTGTTTTATCAAATAAACGGGAGAGAAACCTGTTCTCACTTAAAAAACCCCAACATTTGACCAGTGTTCACAAACATTTTGGCTTTTCTGCAGAATAGCTCAGGCAATTAAAATAGTCTTTCTGAAAGAAAACACCCTATAGTGTTTTGGCAGTGTGGACACTCCAAAAGTCTTTTCACCATTTCAAAGATTTGTGGTGTGTTTCCAGGAGAAGATAAATATGGAAGGAGTCCAATGGCCCCTTTTTTGCTGTTAATCCAATGTGGTGTGGATTATGGGTTATCATTTTTTTGTGTTAAAATAGCTTTAATGCCATTGATCAGGAAAAATCAGGTCTGTATAGTATGCATTCTTGGGATATTTCTTTATAATTACAGCTAGAAGCACTCTCAGGTGTTGAGGATACCATTATGAAATGTGTGGAGTGCCTTGGAATTAGAATGATGTCATAGCAGTTGGAAATTAACCCAGCACTGCTTTGTTATTAAGAGTGTTTGTGTCTTACATGAAGAAATACAGTCACACATTATGAGCAGTTAGGATTTCAGGTTTTCAAGAAACAGTGCAGGAACCCAGAAATGTCTTTGCCAGAGATAACTGCATGTGATATTTTAAAAAATTTTCTCCCAGTTAATTTATAATTCCAAACACTGCAATTTGTTAAGTGCAGGGTTATTTTACAAATTCATATGAGGGTGGAGTACCCTATGTAGAATAATTTTTCTGTATTACCTTTGCAATCCTTCTGCTCTCATTTTCAGTGATTGAGTTCTCATTTTGTGTGTCTTAATCTACATTGTAAATTTATTTTCACAAGGACTGCCTTTCAATTTATGCTTTTGCAGCAAGTCTACAATTCGATAGAGTTTTGACTGGAATATTGGGGGCCTACCATGAGGAATTACTATCTTTATTGTACATGTAACAGGAATGTGACTGGCAGCTGGCCTGTGTTCTGGTAAGAATAGTAATTCTCTCTTTTCTAATACTTATTTTTTTTACCAGTTTACATTTGTACCATACATAAACAAGATCTGCCAATCGACAGCAATTCAGGGAATGCTTAATCGGAACATTTTGGAGGTTGGGGTTTTAGCAGGAATGAAACAATTAATTGAAGGGGTCTGGTTCAGCACCGAACCGGGAGAGGCTGAACCGTGAGATGCTTTACCAATGCTGCCATCTCTTGGCCTTCTTTCGTATTGGCACCCCTAAAAATTCATGGGACAAACGGTCAGATCCTTAAAGGCAGACCCAAGACCCCTCCATCAGAACCCTGCAGTTAACAAATTACTAATTAGCATATTTTTTTCCCCTTAAAACCTCTCAATTTTTATATAAATAATCTCCTTAAGCCCATAGCTTCATTCGCCTCAAATAAGGCTGCTTTTAGTCTTTTATATTTTTTAAAAACTTCACTGACTGGGTTCCATTAACTTTGAGATGGTTTTGAGTTGCTGTCATTCAAATTAAAAACGAACAAGGAGAAACAGAGAAATCAAAATCGACAGAAGAATTAGACCAACAGATCTATCCAGTAGCATTCTATGCTTTCTGAACTCGTAAGAGGTTTCTTTTATTACTGGAAGCCATGATGAAAGTTGTTTGGGAGTAGAGACTACAAAGTCTTTTTCTGAACTCACACATGTTGAAACCCCACTTTCTTTTACTAAGCAATGGCTGCTTTGATGTTTTTGTAAAATAGGGTCTTAGCTTGGTTTCCAGTGGGTCATCCAAAATGTTGATTTCAAATGATAATTCTGTGTGGATATTTTAATGGTTTTGTTTCTTTTTTCTTCTTTTTTTTTTTCACTTTCTTTGTCCAGAAGGATAACAGTTTTCATACCTGAATAAATTAGTGGGAGAGTGTGGATTGCAGTGGTCTTATATTTTTCCACAGCTTAACAAAAAGGTCAGTCTAGTTTTGGTATTTTTTTTTTTTTCCTCTTCAGTTTATGAGTGTTTTGAAATATGCAAGTTTGAGATTTTAGGTTAAAATGACAGTTGTCTTTATATGTATATATGAAACCCACTGAAATCTGAAGGTATAATTTTGAAATTATTGAGACATAATAATTCTGTAGAAACCTTTTGAAATTATTTCTGAGTTTTAAAAAATAGCTTAGTTATGTTTTGATCTGTCATAAAAATTTATATGGTTAGATATTAATTTGAATGGAAGATAACATTTCTCAACAGATCCAAGCTCTGCTACCAGATGAAAATGAACTTGTTTCTAAATATACTCCCTCCTGGACATCTGGTATGATTATAGTCCCTGTCTTGGAAAATGCATTTGGTAGGTAAAGATAATTATGCCTGTCTAGCTGTTTCCACAACTGCTTCTTTAAATCCTTTTAAAATACCAAAACAAGTGGTAAGCAAATGCAAGGTTTAATTTGTATCTTTTCTGGTTTTCCTCTAATTTTTACAATATAATGGGATACGTTTCTAATGAGAACACTTTGGAGTTTTTTGAGAACTGGTCTGAGATTTGCAGTACCACTGAGAAGTTACGTATTATAGAATACTGGTCTGAACTGGAAGAGAACTGACGGTTCAGAAATAGTTGGATTTGTAATACAATTTCATATCAAGCCTCTTGGAAAATCTCACTGTAATGTTATTCTGTAACTTTGCTACTTGGGCATTTTAGTGGTAGGGAAAAACAACTGGGTTGGTTTATTTTCTCATATTTTTTTTTATTAGTGTTTTTCTTTGACTCCTTGTGGTTGTGGTGCTCTTGGCTAGGATTTATGACCTAATAGCAATCTCTAGACAACTGTCCTGGTTGCCAGAGGCCTGACAGCCAGATCTGAGTAGTGTTTTAAAGACACGTTTGGTTTGAAATTGCTTTTCTGTTCCTTCCCAAATGAAATCCTGCTGCTACACACATTATTTTTGGATTGGGAGAAGCAGCAGTGGACCAGGGATGGTGTGTGTTTATAAAGACACCTGAAAAACAAAGCTTTTTTGGAAGCTGGAGCTTGCTGGGGAGACGAGAAGTGGGCCACTTCCGTTTGGAGAAGAGGTGGAGTTTTCAAAGACTGGGTTGAGTGTTAGGGTAATACTGCTGAGGCCATGGCTAACATTTGCATTTGTGCAGGCTGAAGTAGTGACCCTTCCATGTTTCCTCTGATTCTCTGAATGCATATGCTGTAGCCCTAGGCATGCTACTGTCCTGAGGTCTGCTGCAGAGGAGCATCCTGTGTCCTCTGATCCTACAGAGATGCCTGGCTCTATGCTGCTGCCCCTGTTACTCAGCAGGTCCCAGTGGCTGTGTGGCTTCTGCATCACCGTGCTCTGGGAATAAGACAAGGGTGGCATTGATTGAGGGTTCTTGAGAAATGAAACAGTTTTTCTTTAACTGTTTTGTTTGAAAGACAGCAAGGAGATGAAAGAAAGGGTTTGTGTACATGTGAGATACAGCAAGTAGAGTCAAGGCTTTGGTGGTTTCATGAAATCTTGTGGTTTAATAAAACGGTAAGCTTTCTAGGGAACTCCAGAGGGAATCCTGGTAGCTTTTTGTTCCTTTTCTGTTTGTTGCTGCTTTCAAACAGCAGGTCCTAAGTGCTCTCTCTTATTTTCTTTTAGTTTAGTATGGTACATATGGAAACTCCCATCCAGCTCCTCAGCTGATCATTGTGGGTATCTCTGCAGAATTTACCAACCAAACCTGTTTTGCCTTTGTCACCTGCTTGCACTATCGACTTCCAATTTCTCAGCTGCTTTTATACTGAGGAAGGACATGATGTGTTTGCAACTAGCAACATAGCTGTATGAACTGATGGTCCTACTTCTTTGTAGGAGCGCCTCTTCCCATTAGCTATTCTCTTTGTAAAAAGCAACTATATTTCAGCTCCATGTATTGTAATTTCCTTCCTTGTTCTAGATCTGCCAGCTCACCTTCTTTGCTGACCACCAAACCTTGTCCCTTCATCTGCATTCTGTCTCCCCAGCCATTTTAGCAGTCACATGTATCACACAAATCCCATTTTTACTTTGTAAACATCTCATTACGCTTCTTTTTTTTTGGAATGCCTCATCCTTTCTCCACATATCTGGTCCCGTCTGAAGAATACAATGTGACTTCCTTTCCAGTGTTCAGGGTATGGCTTTCGTTGATTTTTTATCTGAGCCCTCACCCCAGAAATTAGGATAAATTATTCCATCACTTTTGGAGCCCTCCAGAAGCTGAGCTTCAGATTCCCAGAAAATAGGAGTTTCTCTCTTTCTGAGGTTATGGTGGTGATGTCTTCAAGTTGAATTATCTGCCTGCCCCCAGGCTGAATTTTCTTACCTTTGGTAAACATAACTGATGTCATCAAGATAACTTCTACAATTGAAGTTGCTGGGTGAAGAAAAGAGCTTTGTGTTTCAAGCATAAAGTTAGATTGCATCAGACAGAAGAAGGGGATCATAGCAAATGGCTTGAGGGAAGATTGACCCTTTAATACCAAGTGTGTTCAGGACAAGCTACAGACACGTTAGTTCTCAGCCTGTGCTGAGAGCTGGGCTAGGCCCTGCAGTAGCAAATGAAGCCAGTAAAGAAAAGACCCCTTTCCTCAGGGTATCATGGTGTGTGTGTCTACATGGTGTATTTATGGGCCAGTATGAGCTTGTGATACCAGAAATACATTGCATAATCATACCTGTAATAAGTTGGTCCCTGAACAAGTATGTATTTAGTACGGCAGAATGTTTGCTTATTGGAAACAACACTGTCAGCCTAAATATACAGGAATTGTGTGCCAAGCCTCCCCTCCAAAATGTGATTGCCATTAAAATTACAAGATTAAACCACTACCAATAATAATCGGAAGCAATATATTTCTGATTCTTTTTACTTGCTATGCAGTGTTGGAATATTCATTGCCTGCTTGCAAGTATTGAAAATTGTATTAAATCTCAAATTCTAGTTAGATCTAGTTAGTTGATTACAGCCTTGGCAATACTTGCTAATACTCATGAAATACCACAAGAGTTTTGCTGAGTATGACTATGGATTGTGTAACTGGGTAGATTCATGCCTGTGTGCCGTGAGGAATCTGAATTTGAATGCCAGGGTGAGACATGTACATGTTACATATTGAGTAGAAGTTGGTTTAGAGAGTGTGCAAGATGTCTGAGGATATGGACAGGCTTTTTTGTGTCTAGGTAAGATAGTTTAAGAAGTTCTCATCCCCAACTGCTCAGTATCCACCAATGGTGGAGATTTTAGCCTCCCCAGCTGAGCTAGTGCAGTTGGAAGGATACTACAGTACATTGTCAGATCATTATCTCCAGCTCCTTAAGCTCAGACAATGGGCTTTGAAGAACAGTAGGTGAGGAGTGCTTGCACCTTTTGTCCTCCTGGCAGTGGGAGTGAGTGTCCTACTAATAGGAGTGAGGAAACTGGGGGTGACATGATTCTGAGGAATGCTAATGTTTTAAATCACTTCCAGTTTTCTGTAGAATAAACATGTGTCTGACCCAAAGCAAGGCTGGAAAGGTGCTAGTAACATGGCTTGATATTACAGACACTGAAACTTCCTGCCTCTGAGGGGCTTTCTGCTTTCTCAAGAGAGATTGCAGTAATGTGTAGTGTGGGAAAAAGTGTGCGTGAGAAACAGAAGATCAGGTGTCCTCTCACTGAAATTTGTTTGCCCTCTAGACTGAGGCTAAGCCACTGAAACAGTTCTGGGTTTTATTTCAGCATTAGGAAATGCTATGTCTATTGGATAGTGATATGTCGTCTTCTCCATCACTACTCTGCATCTATCCATGATTAAATCCACATGGAGCTGTCTCATCCCTGTCCAACTGCTGCTATTGCTTTGATTTTGATGCCCTGTGTTTGGAATCAGATCCTAATCCACATCAGAAAGCAGAAAAATGCCAGGAGCTGGAGTGCAGTTGATTTATTAAGATAGGCTGACTGGGTGTTTGCTCCATTTCTGACACTTACGCAAGGCTTGCTCTTGTCCTGGGGATATTACTGCCCAACAAAAGTATATAATGCAGATATATAAGGATCATCCATTTTATATTCATTGTAATTTTAACTAATACTTGCCTGACCTCATTTATGGGGAATGATCACAACTGTTCCTGGGCATATGTGGTGTTGTGTACAAAAGCAAAATGGCTTTTGTGTTGGTCTCTCTGCCAGTCTCCAGGAGTTCCCAAACTAGGTCCCTTGGCTGAGATGGAAAGAAGGAAAAAGTGCTTTTCTCTGACCCTGTGTGGTAAAAGTTGGGAAGCTACAGGAGAGATATGGAGGAGTAAAGTCTAAAAGCTGTTGAAAACAGCTGAGTAGAAAATAAATCACCATGGCAAGAAAAACATTGCTTTCAACATGACAAAAACCCTGAAATTCTCTGTTCACATCCATTACTGTGGGACAGAAAACCATGTGCTGCGTGAGGTTTGCATAAGTTTGTCATGTGAGATGAAGACTCACATGTTCAAACCTTTAATCATTGCAAGGAGAGAGAAAAAATGTTCCTAGGGTATTAATTTTTGCCATTCCTACCAACTTTTCCTTGTCTTCACTGTTGGGAATGTGTGTCCTAGAAAAATTAATAGTCTGAAATGAACATTCTTCCCTTTTACCTGTTATTTGCAGTCAGAAAAGGATTTTATTTCTAAATAATGTTACTGTTCAGCATTCAGGCATGTTCTCAGGAAGAAATGGTAATATTTTTGTCATACCTCAGATGTGACTGTGAGCATTCCCCAATGTGCAGCAATGCAAAATTGTCTGTATGTGATGGGAAGGAGGGCTGATTTTTCAGGGTGGCGGATGAGGAGTGTTCTTCTGTTCCATCCCACCGGCACCACTCTGATGAGCCCATCAGAGCACTGAAGATGTGTACAATAAATGCTAAGCACATCGTTCAAATAAGCACAATAATAATAATAATGTTGAAG